CGATTATATGCTTTTTTCTTTATTCAAAACTTTGAACATGTTCATGAACTTTGAACCTAGATTCAATAGGAACACTAACAGTAAACATTGAATTTTCATGCCCAGTTGATGCGATTGATATAGTTTTGGTTCCTTTTTCTTCAATTGTGGTGGCATTTGTCATATTAAAAGATATAGCAGTTTCATCCATATTGGCAATTAAAGATAAAAAATAATCATAACTATGACGTTTGTAAAGTATAAGAGATAAAAATTTGCTTTATTCTTCATTATAAGTTTTAAGAAGATGTTGGGCAGTAGTAGTACACCTATGGTTAACCAAATTATGTCATGACATAAATCCATCTACCCATTTTTGAAAAAATTTATGATTTTCAATCTCATGAAATTGGCTTTGGTAGTGAGAAGTGGTAGCAAGGGAACAAGCTTTCGCTTGAACTATATAGTAACTGACAGTCTTTTGTTGGGATCGGGCCTGATTTAGCACCAGGTGCTAACTTTTGAACATATGGTGTAACTTTCATAAGCTCTGGTTTTTTACTAATCCATTCTCTAAGTTGTTTTGGCTCTATTTCGAATTTATCAACTGTTGAACGTTTGCTATACTCTTGTTCATAGTAAGCTATGATCATTAATTTTTTACATGCTGACTATTGTCGTTTTTTCTTTTTTGTCACTTGGGCATGACAAGCTTTAAAATTTCCACAGACTATTTTGATTTTTAATGTAATGAAATCTTTGATAAACCTATAAACAGATTCTTTTTTTTTTTTAATAAATCAGTTTTTATTTAAGTTTTTTTTTTAAAAGAAATTATTTGCTTACAAATATTATTTGATATACAATTATCTTCATACAGGTTACTTTTGACAATCACTTTTAATGAAAGTAATAATTCCCAATAGTGATAAGATCTAAAAGCCCTTGAAATTTAGAATACAACTGATAAGAAATCTAACTCTTAATAAATTTAAAAATTTAAATTTGTAATCTATATAGAAATTAAAAAAATTAAACAAATTATACTTTCATTGAATATAGAATTAATTTGGATATCTCAAAAGTGCTAGTCACAAAATAGGTACTTGTAGTTTATATATTCGTTATCTTCTATTGCCACTGTTGTTTTTGCAGCTTTTGTTGCTGCTATTGTTGTTCTTATAGCTCTTGTTGCTGCCACTGTTGACCTTGTAGCTCTTGTTGCTGCTGCTGTTGCCTTTGTAGCTCTTGTTATTGCTACTGCAACTGTCTTTGCAGCTCTTGTTATTGCTCCTTCTGTTGGTTTTTTTTTAGTTGATTTCCTGCTAAATGTTCTTAAATATTAACATTTTTATTATTATAAAGTATTTCTTCTATTAAAAATACTTTATATTTTACCTTTCTTAAATTGGGCAAGAATGTATGACCACATTACTCTTTTATATGTTGCTTAAAATTCTTGTTTCGCAAATGTCTAAGACAATGAATTTATCTAATCTGTCTTACAAATGCAAGATTATACATAATGATAAAAATTCTCTATGTATTATATTCCCCATACAAAATACCCCCTTACAAAATATACTCTATACAAAATACCTGCTACCGATCAAGATACCCCGGGTATTTTATAAGATTTTGATCGGGTATTTGTTTTAGACCCGGGTATTTTAATTAGTGCAGTATGGCACTTGGCATAAAATCTATACTAGTATAATTATAGCTATTTTAAACCATATTCCCAACAAAAATTTCACTGTTCGCTATTTTCAACATATATTTTCTTCTAAGGCTATTACTCATTTATATTCAATCTTAAAAAAATTAAAAATATTTTTTTGACAAACAAAGTATACTTTAAAACACCAATTATCTATTTTTTACTATCTTAATAACTCCATCTCTTTGTTTAATCAATCCTCTGAGTTAAATATTCCTCAACTTTCTAGTTTATACCAACTTCTTTCTTCTTGGATTACTAATACTAACTTAGAGTAGAAAATCTTTTCAATGCTTACAATATAGAAAATATCAAAGAAATCAGACAACAAATTTTTGATACTATTAAAAAGAGATATTCTAAACTTCAAACTTATTCCACCTCTATAATTAATAGTATTCTCAACTGTTACAAAGATCCAGTTAAATTTAATAATATCTGACTAGATAATAATATTATAAGTAACCTCCAACTATCAAATCTCATATTCAACAACACTTTGAAAACTAAACTGCTCCTCAACATATTAACTCTGATATCTTCAACTTTCAATAGCAAACAAAATACAACTCTAAACCTAATATTAACTTCACATGGTATTCCAATACTCTTTTCAACTTTACTGAGGCTGAAATTATATTAACTATTAGAGGTGTGGTGGCTTAGTGAAGTGGTTAAGTCGTCACCCTCTCCAAGTAGCAGGTCTAGGTTTCAAATCCCATGAACGATGAAAGTTTGAAAAATAGGCTTGCATTATGGTAACAGATCTTTATTAAGTTGGGGCTTAGATTAACCTGTAACTTCAGGTCACACCAATGCTCTGTATTGGAAAGT